TTTTTTTTCCGTAATACCTCTGTAACTATTGAAACATTACATCACAATACAAGAGAAAAACTCCCAGACTGATCTTTTGTCATTTCTTCACATGAAACTCGTATACTACAGCCAAGTGGCTCCTTCTTTTCTCATTAATCAGATCATTATTATCAGAATCCACATTTTAAATACTTGGCTTTTTTCTGTTTAAATGTACCCTTTTTCCTATAACTTCTGACCCTAACTGTCCCTATTTCTCTAATTCTATTCCTACTTTTTCACTAATTCCCTTGTGCCTCTCTGCACGAAGGTGTGCCTCTTTTGCACTCTAAACGGTGGACTTCCCTTTTTCATCATCTATGTTTTATTTTAGGAGGGACCAATTATTCCCCCAAGGCTAAAAACGTCTAAACCTGACTATTGTTCTATCGCGTCCGATAGAACGCCCCATCACGGCGGTCTTGTCCACGCTGCAATCTGTCGAGCCAAAATCTCTCTCTCTTCTATTTAAAACAATGTGCAGATTTTCAAAACTATGATCCGCTTACCTTAGAAGCGACCTTTTTGAAGAGCAGAGGAGATTTTTCCAAACCCACAAATCCAGTCTCTATATCTGATATCTCCAAGTTGTCAGTGAACAAGTTTGTACACTGTGGAAAGAAGGCCGGGTACAGTCAGGGAACTTTTTTTTCCAGATTTTTTTAAAAATGATTTTTAAAAATGTGCTTTTGGGACCAAAATGGCACACTTTGACCCCCATTTTCTCTGGATTTCTACAGTAAAAGTGAATGATATTTTACACAGTGGTAAAGGGCATCCCAGTGAACAAATGTGCAGTGAAAGTAGTCCAGGGAACTTTTTTAGTTTTTTTTAAAATGATTTTTAAAAAGTGCTTTTGGGACCACTTGTGCACACTTTTGACCCCCATTTTCTCTGGATTTCCACAGTAAAAGTGAATGATATTTTACACAGTGGTAGAGGGCATCCTGTGAACAAGTGTGCAGTGAAAGTAGTGAGGGAACTTTTTTAGATTTTTTTAAAATGAATTTTAAAAAGTGCTTTTGGGACCAAAATGTGCACACTTTGACCCCCATTTTCTCTGGATTTCTACAGTAAAAGTGAATGATATTTTACACAGTGGTAAAGGGCATCCCAGTGAACAAATGTGCAGTGAAAGTAGTCAGGGAACTTTTTTAGTTTTTTTTTAAATTAATTTTAAAAAGTGCTTTTTGGGACCAAAATGGCACATTATGACCCCCATTTTCTCTGGATTTCTACAGTAAAGTGAATGATATTTTACACAGTGGTAGAGGGCATCCTGGTGAACAAGTGTGTGCAGTGAAAGTAGTGAGGGGAACTTTTTTAGTTTTTTTGAAAATGAATTTTAAAAAGTGCTTTTGGGACCAAAATGGCACACTTTGACCCCCATTTTCTCTGGATTTCTACAGTAAAAGTGAATGATATTTTACACAGTGGTAGAGGGCATCCTGGTGAACAAGTGTGCAGTGAAAGTAGTCTGGGAACTTTTTTAGATTTTTTTAAAATGAATTTTAAAAAGTGCTTTTGGGACCACTTGTGCACACTTTGACCCCCATTTTCTCTGGATTTCTACAGTAAAAGTGAATGATATTTTACACAGTGGTAGATGGCATCCTGTTGAACAAGTGTGCAGTGAAATTAGTCAGGGAACTTTTTTAGATTTTTTTAAAATGAATTTTAAAAAGTGCTTTTGGGACCACTTGTGCACACTTTGACCCCCATTTTCTCCGGATTTCTACAGTAAAAGTGAATGATATTTTACACAGTGGTAGAGGGCATCCCAGTGAACAAGTTTGCAGTAAAATCAGTCAGGGAACTTTTTTAGATTTTTTTAAAATTATTTTTAAAAAGTGCTTTTGGGACCAAAATGGCACACTTTGACCCCCATTTTCTCTGGATTTCTACAGTAAAAGTGAATGATATTTTACACAGTGGTAGAGGGCATCCTGGTGAACAAGTGTGCAGTAAAAGTAGTCTGGGAACTTTTTTAGATTTTTTTAAAATGAATTTTAAAAAGTGCTTTTGGGACCAAAATGGCACAGTTTGACCCCCATTTTCTCTGGATTTCTACATTAAAAGTGAATGATATTTTACACAGTGGTAAAGGGCATCCTGTGAACAAGTGTGCAGTGAAAGTAGTGAGGGAACTTTTTTAGTTTTTTTTAAAATGAATTTTAAAAAAGTGCTTTTCGGACCAAAATGGCACACTTTGACCCCCATTTTCTCTGGATTTCTACAGTAAAAGTGAATGACATTTTACACAGTGGTAAAGGGCATCCCAGTGAACAAGTGTGCAGTGAAAGTAGTGAGGGAACTTTTTTAGACTTTTTTAAAATGAATTTTAAAAAGTGCTTTTGGGACCAAAATGGCACACTTTGACCCCCATTTTCTCTGGATTTCTACAGTAAAAGTGAATGATATTTTACACAGTGGTAGAGGGCATCCCAGTGAACAAGTTTGCAGTGAAATCAGTCAGGGAACTTTTTTAGATTTTTTTAAAATGATTTTTAAAAAGTGCTTTTGGGACCAAAATGGCACACTTTGACCCCCATTTTCTCTGGATTTCTACAGTAAAAGTGAATGATATTTTACACAGTGGTAAAGGGCATCCCAGTGAACAAATGTGCAGTGAAAGTAGTCAGGGAACTTTTTTAGTTTTTTTTAAAATGATTTTTAAAAAGTGCTTTTGGGACCACTTGTGCACACTTTGACCCCCATTTTCTCTGGATTTCCACAGTAAAAGTGAATGATATTTTACACAGTGGTAGAGGGCATCCTGTTGAACAAGTGTGCAGTGAAATCAGTCAGGGAACTTTTTTAGATTTTTTTAAAATGAATTTTAAAAAGTGCTTTTGGGACCACTTGTGCATACTTTGACCCCCATTTTCTCTGGATTTCTACAGTAAAAGTGAATGATATTTTACACAGTGGTAGAGGGCATCCTGGTGAACAAGTGTGCAGTGAAAGTAGTGAGGGAACTTTTTTAGTTTTTTTTAAAATGAATTTTAAAAAGTGCTTTTGGGACCAAAATGGCACACTTTGACCCCCATTTTCTCTGGATTTCTACAGTAAAAGTGAATGACATTTTACACAGTGGTAAAGGGCATCCCAGTGAACAAGTGTGCAGTGAAAGTAGTGAGGGAACTTTTTTAGATTTTTTTAAAATGAATTTTAAAAAGTGCTTTTGGGACCAAAATGGCACACTTTGACCCCCATTTTCTCTGGATTTCTACAGTAAAAGTGAATGATATTTTACACAGTGGTAAAGGGCATCCCAGTGAACAAATGTGCAGTGAAAGTAGTCAGGGAACTTTTTTAGTTTTTTTTAAAATTAATTTTAAAAAGTGCTTTTGGGACCAAAATGGCACACTTTGACCCCCATTTTCTCTGGATTTCTACAGTAAAAGTGAATGATATTTTACACAGTGGTAGAGGGCATCCTGGTGAACAAGTGTGCAGTGAAAGTAGTGAGGGAACTTTTTTAGTTTTTTTTAAAATGAATTTTAAAAAGTGCTTTTGGGACCAAAATGGCACACTTTGACCCCCATTTTCTCTGGATTTCTACAGTAAAAGTGAATGATATTTTACACAGTGGTAGAGGGCATCCCAGTGAACAAGTTTGCAGTGAAATCAGTCAGGGAACTTTTTTAGATTTTTTTAAAATGATTTTTAAAAAGTGCTTTTGGGACCAAAATGGCACACTTTGACCCCCATTTTCTCTGGATTTCTACAGTAAAAGTGAATGATATTTTACACAGTGGTAAAGGGCATCCCAGTGAACAAATGTGCAGTGAAAGTAGTAAGGGAACTTTTTTAGTTTTTTTAAAATGATTTTTAAAAAGTGCTTTTGGGACCACTTGTGCACACTTTGACCCCCATTTTCTCTGGATTTCCACAGTAAAAGTGAATGATATTTTACACAGTGGTAGAGGGCATCCTGTTGAACAAGTGTGCAGTGAAAGTAGTGAGGGAACTTTTTTAGATTTTTTTAAAATGAATTTTAAAAAGTGCTTTTGGGACCACTTGTGCACACTTTGACCCCCATTTTCTCTGGATTTCTACAGTAAAAGTGAATGATATTTTACACAGTGGGGTAGAGAGCATCTTATTGAACAAGTGGGCAGTGAAAGTATTCGCAAACCTCTTTTTGTTCTTTTTAAATGATTTTTTAAAAGATAAAGCATTTAGCTTTCTCGTCGTCACGGCTTCCCTTTCCACATTTACCGTAAGTAACAGCATAAAAGAGCCAACCGCATTCAAAGTGCGGACCTCTTTACCGCTCCCGACGAAATGCAGGGCCACTTTACCGCGGTCCAAAGAGCCAACCAGGACTGTTCCTGCTAGCTCTGGATAGAAAAATGATAGAAGTTTAGAACGCACCTGATTGGTCAGCTGTTAGGGGTAATATCTGGACAAATACTATCCACAAATTAAAATCACCATAATCGTAGAGCATTCAACCACCTATGTTTTACTCCGAAACATTTACAGAATAAGATATTTTTCAAGTAAATGTGATCCAGTTGGTCTATTCCCCATTAGGCTTCACCAAGCTATCTCATTGTTCATCTATATAATACTAAATGGGACTTTTTACCTTATATAACACCAGTGGCATACAAAAACATGTTCAGCACCTACATCTATGGGGCTGTTGCTGCCAGTGAGTTGGTAAACATTTGTCATTCTGCCAACTTCAGCTCTGTTGTAGATCATTTGAGTGCTCAGAAAAGCTTGAATCCAGTCAAAATTGTCAAAAAACAAGAAATATTTTAATTTTTTTTATGATTTACAAGTTTGAAATGTTTTCAAATGTTACAACAATTATTAATAAGTTATATTATATTAAAACCTTGATAGAAAATGACCACACAAATGACCTCCATTTCTTTATTATCGATTATACATGTCATTCAATGCCTTTCCAGCTGAAATTTTATTAAGAAAGAAGTGCATTTGTTCTCTATTCCTTGAAATCATCATTGAAGTTCTTTTAAAACCAGCTGGCAACATTCAGCCACTTTGGAGGGGTCAGACACTGTGGAGTATTTAGAGATCTGAGAGTTGACGCCAAGAGACTTAGCCAAGTCCCGGGCAGTTTGGTCAGAAGACACCGTGGTCCCCAGTGCCACCAGTAGCCTGAAGACCGCCTCTTTGTCTTGAACAGTCTCCAGAGCTTGACTGGCCACAGACAGGCACTGGGCCTTGGCCTCCAGATCGGGTTGGCTATAGAAGCAGCTGGCGTAGTTCAGCACCAAGGTTGCTAGTGCGATGTGGATGTTTTTGTTACAGACAGAAGCCAAGTCGCAGGCTCGCGAGAGCACCGCTTCTCGCTGCGATACGAGAAGAGATCGGCCATGTCTGCCGGCGAAGCAGTTACACAGGGTCCGCAGGGCCAGCATCTGATTGGCTGGCCGCCCTTCTGGCCTCATCAGGTTTAGAAGATGGTTGCATAGCTGGACTCCCTCGGCCTCTCCGCAAAGGATTTCGTTCACTTGTGGGTGTCGCACCGCAAGCCTCAATATGTCCAAAACTGGAAACACAATGTCTACAAAAAATAACACACACATCTATGAGTAACAAACATACTAGAGCATAAAAAGGTGTTATTTTCATGGTCCATGTTTTTTTTTTTTTCTAATTTCTGAGTTTTTTTTACATAATCTACACAGTCATGGTAACCATTTTAATACAATTCTAAACTAGCCATGATCATTTGCTTAAATTTCAATAATTCAACCATGAAAAAGAATGAAAGATAACAACCTTCTGGCCATTGTGCTGCCTTCCAGAGGAGAGTAATCTGTTGCATTGTTGGTCCCGGGTCAGAGTTTGAGGCACACACAGAAGCCAGCAGCTGTTCAATATTTCCCAAAAACTCTTCTGTTAGTTTGTGCTCTTGGGGAGCTCCTGCATTCAACTCCTTTAGTTTGGCTGAAACAAAGAGACTTTTTAAGTTTGGGTTTTTCCATTGAAGTAACAATGACGTCTTTCAGCTTTACCAATTATCTGTGAGCCGTTTGCCTGCTCAAAACTCACACCATCTGTTTTCGGGAAGTAAATGTTTGTTGCAGTTTGTCTCAGAGCAGCAGAGGAGTAGGCACCTCTCCCTGAAGCGAAATAGAAAGATTATTTTATGCAATAGAATGACAAACATATATTTTGCTTTTAACGGTCATGGTTCACCTGTGAATGGATCTACCACTCCCCCAGGAGCATTTGAATTTGGACCAGGGTCTGAACCTGGGATGTATCGACCACCTCCTAAAATGTACATCATTTTCATAATCATGAGTTTTATGTAATTACTCAGACACACAGCATGAAAAAGAACAGACAATCACCTGTAAAGGGATCAGCCCCAAAGCCTGTGTTGTCGCTTGAAGATCCGGGAACGTACCGATTACCTCCTTTAAAAAAAAAAAAAAAAACATTATATGGTTGTTTTGCGTAGGTTAAGTGAAAAATTATTTGAACTAATTTGTGACATTTCAGAGTACAAATTTGGTAGAGAATAAGCTATAAAAATATATTCATATTAGAAGGTCAGAAATCTTGACTTACCAGTGAAAGGGTCACCTCCTCCAGGCTGCGCTGGTCCCACCACATGTCCTTTAGTGTTCTCTATGATAAAATTAGCAACTTGGTCCAGGAACATTGGACTAAGGTCATTCTTCTGTAAAAAGTTATGCGCTGTGAGCCACGGGTCCTCCGAGACGTTGTAAGGCAGTTTCATGGATGGCCCTCCTTCGTTGATGTCAATGGTGAAGACATAATCATATTCCTGAAAATGACAAGTTTTATGGATACAGGTTTATATTTAAGTGACCATCAGATAACGTTCAAATTGTGGAGGGAGAGTGAAACTTTCTGAAGACAAGCACTGGTTGGATCGCTCATGGTCACCCACGCAGCCTCCTGATCAGAATGAATTAAAAACCTCGAGCCCCCTCTTCATTGGTTTAAATAATCTTACCGGTCATAGTTACATCAAGGGGAGGGACCATTTTGAAATACTTTGTACTATTATGTACAGTATTTTTCAACAACAATGTCCCATGGTCAGAAATATTTATTCACATTTACAAATACAATTTGCAGAGTTGCTAACATTAACTTTAAGCAAATTGTCTAGTTATTTTTAAATTGATGATTTTTATTCTGAACTGTGATAATTATACTAGCAATTTTTATGTTTCAGCGCTCATTTTATTTTCCACACATCCCCAGGCTCATTAAGATTTCCAAACATGAGGTCTAAACTAGCTTGAATGCAGGAAAAATAAATGCAAAAGTGAAAAAAAAAATACATATGTACAGATACACACCTTTCCTTCATATACAACACTCTTCGAGGTTTGCTCGTTTGAACCTCCCACTACATCCCCAATTTTCATCCAGCGATCATCACTCACGCTCCACTGATATGCCTCAACTTTGTCTCCATCTTTAATCAGCCGTGTTTGTCCATCTCGATTTCCTAAGTGAAACAGAACAGAAGTGCAAAGTTATTATGGTGTAAATATAGAAACATTGATCTAACCCTTCTGCATCTCTATACCAGGCTCATTAAGGTGCTCTCTTCCAGGAAGCTCTTCTAGTTTTATATCTCCAAGGTCTCCGGTCTTTGGGTCAATAGTGGCCTTTGAGAGCTCATCTTCAAAAGCCTGGATGTCCTGTGCACTGGCAACACGATCTTGAGCCTCAGTAAACACACGAATAATGCCATCACTGTGGGATTAAAGAAAAATCAAATCAAATTAAAACTAATGAGAAACCATAAGCAAGTCGAGTGTGTAAGAAAGGTTGTGACAAGCTAAAACAATGACAACAACACTTTACCTCGCTCCAATAGCAATATCACCATTTGAAAGAATGCAGCAACACCACACTGACTGTGCAGGCATGCGGATAGTCTGTGCACACTCCCCTTTCTTCCATATCCTTAATGTTCTGTCTTCACCAGTGCTGACAAAATCTGAATATCAGGGAAAAGAAACCACAACATTGAAGAGAAAACATATCATTAAGTTGTGCATTTCTTACAAGCCCACCTTCACTGTTTGGGAATACTGCAATGCTGTAAATGTAGTTGGTGTGTCCATAGTAAACATGTACACACTCCCCTGTTACCAACCACCTTCTAATGCTCCCATCATTGCTACAGGAAAAAAACTCCAAATTGTTGAGCACCGCTAGCCCTCGTACACAGTCTTCATGGCCTAAAATAAAACAGAAGCAGTTTAAAAACTGGCGGTAAATGGGTTGATAATGATAAAGTAATACCTGTATATGTCTTCTCACATCGACCTGCTTTCCATAGCCTTATGGTCTTATCAGCTGATCCAGACAGCATAAGGCCTTGCTCAGGTAAAATAACAACAGACCACACTGCTGCAGTATGGCCCTAGGGGAAAAGAAAAGGTTATGATTTGGCAAACATGGATGGAATGCAAAATCAGCACTTACCTCCAAAGTCATCATGCATTTCTCATTTAGCCAGACTTTTGCTGTCATGTCCCATGAGCCACTTAAAAGGGTCCCAAATTTACCAGAAGACAAAGTACAAACTGAGGGAAAAGTCCAAGAAATGTAATTGGTATTGAGATGTTGTACGACAGATCAAATAATGTCTAAAAGTCTACTTTTTGACAAAAAATAGCACTTACCTGTGTTTTTGTGTCCTTTGAGAGTGTATAGAGGCTGTGGATTGTCCATTGTAAAAATGCATATGTTGTTGTCATTTCCACCAGTAGCAATAAGCCCACGAGGATACGTGTCACTGGGAGCAATGACACAAACACAGGACACGAAGTTGCTGTGTCCAGACATACAGTGCATCTCCGTAAATCCTTGTTCTGGACTGTGACAGTGAAGAAGACACAACAACTAAGTTTCAGGTGAATGAATGACAACGCTAGTTTTAAACCAACTGGTTTTGTCTATATATGTAGTGTCAGAGCAAGCACAAACAATGACTACTTATCAACCCCAGCGACCTTTTATCATTTATCAAGTTAATGAGAACACAATTCAACCAAGGAAACAGAATAAACTACAGAAACGCATGACAGCTCCATTAGCAATGCTAACGAAAGCTACCTTGAGTTTGGGACCCAGATTCTTCCGGTTCGGTCTCTGGACACAGAAACAAACGCTCCTTCGGGAAATGTGGCAGCAGCGAGGCCCCTCACGTCCATTTCGTGACCGGGGATCGTACACCGGAGTTTGTAGGAACCGAGCGACGACATTTCTTCCCCCCAAAACACACAGACCAGCCCGAAATGCAAAGTAACGCTGAGCAGCAGTCAACAAACACCGGCTAATGCTAACGGAAGCGGTCCTCACGGGACTAGTGTGACGCAGCGACATCTAGTGGTCCACAAAATTATCGTTTTTATGTTACAAAACATGAGGAAACATGTTAGCGGAAGCACCAACATAAACAGAAAAACAGAAAATAATTTCCTGACAGAAAGAGAACAGTAAAATGTAAAAGTAAAACGTCGTGAATAGAAAATGTAAGTCACTATTTGACGCCTTGAGAGGGGCAAAAACACGTGCATGTGAAAATGATGGAACTAAACTGTCTTGAGAAATAAATTAACCCGATATAATTATAATTTTTGTTTTTTGAAAGTTGGGTACCCCAGCTTTAAATGTAACTATATTCATGTGAGGCGTACATACTTGATTCACTTTTTGTTTTCTTATTGTTTGATAGATAAACATAAATCCTCTTTTTTTTTAAACAATATATTTTTTAACTGATCATCCAATCACATTTTAGCATAACAGTCCCATACAGACGCTACTATGAAGGACCAAAACTGTCAAAATAAATGAATAAATAAATACATGTCATAATCTGCATATTATTATTAATATAACACAACAAATCATGATATTTATTAAATGTATATTATTATTATACAACGTTTTTTGGTTCAAAACAACAAACTAAAGCTTTATTATTTTGTTTAGAACCAAAAAACGTTGTTTAATAAAAATATATATTTATTAAATATCATGATTATTGGCAGAATGTGATATTTATTTATTTATTCATTTATTTATAATTTTGACAGTTTTGGTCCGCCATACGCAACAGAGACCTCGTGGCTGCTAAGGTGACTTCATGCTTGTTTATAGATGATGTATAGATATATTCAATACATTGCAGTTAAACATTTTTAATCAGTTTAATCTGTATTCACTGCTAAACTCCGGCAGCTCAGGAAAGCAAAGGAGTCTGCTTTCAGGGAGGGGGACCGCAGCGGCTACAAAGCAGCTAAATATCAGTTCAGGAAAGAACTGAAAGCAGCCAAGTCCCGGCACAGAGAACGACTACAGGAGCAGTTTGGTAACAACGATACTGCTTCTGTCTGGAGGGGCCTACGGGAGATCACCAACTACAAACCCAAAGCCCCCCCCTGTGCTGATGACCACAAGCTAGCTGACGATCTGAACTTATTTTTCAGTCGCTTTGATGCTGCCCCTGACACCTCTCCCTCCCCCACCCCCCACTACTCTAACGACCCACCCATCAGCCCTGCCCCCAGCCTAACAATAGCCGCTAAAGAGATTAAACAACTCTTCCTGAGGCTGCACCCCCGCAAAGCTCCTGGCCCGGACCACGTGTCTCCGGCCACTCTGAGACACTGCGCCAGTGAGCTTACTCCTGTGTTCACGGACATTTTCAACTCCTCTCTGCAGTCCTGCCATGTCCCGGCCTGCTTCAAATCCTCCATCATTGTCCCCGCCCCGAAGAAGCCCAGGATCACAGGACTCAATGACTACAGACCTGTAGCACTTACGTCTGTCGTCATGAAGTCATTTGAACGCCTGGTTCTCTCCCATCTCAAGTCCCTCACCTCCCCCCTCCTGGACCCCCTGCAGTTCGCCTACAGAGCCAACAGATCTGTAGACGACGCCATTAACCTGGCCCTCCACCACATCCTACAGCACCTGGACTCCCCGGGGACCTACGCCAGGGTCCTGTTCGTGGACTTCAGCTCTGCCTTCAACACAATCCTGCCATCCCTGCTCCAGGACAAGCTCTCCCAGCTCAACGTGCCCGATTCCACCTGCAGGTGGATCACTGACTTCCTGACGGACAGGAAGCAGCGAGTGCGTCTGGGGAAGAATGTCTCGGACTCTCGGATTATAAATACAGGAGCCCCACAGGGCTGTGTTCTTTCTCCCCTGCTCTTCTCCCTGTACACCAACCACTGCACCTCCAGCCACGACTCCGTGAAGCTGATCAAGTTCGCGGACGACACCACCCTCATTGGACTCATCTCCAACAACGATGAGTCCGCCTACAGGAGGGAGGTGGACCGGCTGGTGTCCTGGTGCAGTGGTAACAACCTGGAGCTGAACGCCCAGAAGACAGTGGAGATGATTGTGGACTTCAGGAAGAGCACTGTCCCCCCGCCCCCACCCTCCGTGATGGACTCCCCCATCACCTCTGTGGAGTCCTTCCGTTTCCTGGGCACCACCATCACCCAGGACCTCAAGTGGGAGCCGACCATCAGCTCCCTCATCAAGAAGGCCCAGCAGAGGATGTACTTCCTGCGGCAGCTCAGGAAAGCCAAGCTGCCTGCACAGATGTTGGTGCAGTTCTACACGGCCATCATCGAGTCCATCCTCACCTCCTCCATCACCGTGTGGTTCGCTGGAGCCACAGTCAGGGACAAACAGAGACTACAGCGCATTGTGCGCTCTGCAGAGGAAGTGATCGGCCGCAGCCTTCCATCGCTGCAGGACCTGTACGTCGCCCGAGCTCGAGGCCGGGCTGGTCGTATCACAGCCGACCCCTCTCACCCTGCACATGGACTATTCCAACCACTCCCCTCAGGCAGGAGGCTGCGGTCCATCAGGACTAGAACCTCCCGCCACAAGAACAGTTTCTTCCCCTCTGCTGTTGGACTCTTGAACACTTCTTAACCTGTCCCCCCGCCCTTCATAAAGTCACTTTACTGCCCATCATACGTCACTTTACTTCACTGTACTGCTGTCACCTTACATTGTGTGCACCATGTGCACTTGTATATTGTAAATAGTAACTGTAACTCTATTTTAAATTTAAATTTATTCTTTAGAAGTGTTTTTTATTCTTATTTTTATTATCTCTTTTCGACTGTTGCACTGAGCCAAAGCAATTTCCAAGTCTGTGACCTCCCGTTACTTACGTTGGCAATAAAAATGATTCTGATTCTGATTCTGATTCTGATTATCCATATTTCTCCTCCTGAAAGTGTTTTTCAAAGTGCAACTATTTACAGTCTAAGTGCAACCAACACGCATGGTATATAATGTAGCTACCTAGCTTACAACTAATGACTACTACTCGTGTTAGCATGTGAACAGTGTATGCGGAATTAAAAATACATAGACGTTTTATTTTCACGAAAAACCGGAAACGATGCGTACGTTACGGATGACAAACAAACCACTTGCTTCGTCCATCCCACAAGGAAGTATCTGTAGTCCTGCCAGCTCTGGAGAGGACAGAGCGGTCGAAAGAGGTATTATTTCATTTCTACTCCATATTTTACCATTATCCACCGTGTAGGTCGTAGCTGTATTTTATGGGATCATTACATGGTTAAAAATCTAGGTCGCCAATGTTTGCTAACGTGGTAAAGCCAGCAGAGCCAAGCCCAACCTGAGCTGTCATTATAATGAATGATGGAGAGTGAATGGGGATCTCATCATACAATGAAAAAATGTTTTTGATGAACATCGTTTGTACAGTAGAAAACACGTATCACTGTTGATGATGTAAAGCTACAATTGATTTTAGACCACTATAATGATATTGATAGGTTGTTACAGTGTCATTGGTTTATTCTGTATATAGGGTACTGTATTCTATTGTCATTGAAGTGTTGTTTTTATATCTATATTTTCCAGTCCCATCTGCAGATATGAAGCTGCGACTGCATTTTGTGGTGGACCCCATAGGCTGGCTCTGCATCAGTGCTGTGTTTGGCATCTGGCTCTACAACTCCTTTTTTGTTCCCAAACTTGTTCTACTTCCACACTACCATGAAGGACACATACCTTGGGCCATCGTTTTTTGTAAGGACACTGCATTCATTGTTTAATATTGCTTATCCTGTGTAAAAAACATGCATTAATTTCATCCTGAATACTGAATTCATTTATTTATTTCATTGTAGGTTATTATATAGCATCAGCACTGTGCTTTGCTGCTTTGTTTAGAGCTTCCACAGCAGATCCTGGTCGCCTTCCTCAAGACCCTCATATACCTCACTCTGGTATGAATCAAAGCACTTTCTTCTGTTTTAAATATTTAATAAAAAAAAAAAAATGTTATTTTTATTATTTGATTTCTTTATTTTAACATGTATCTTTTTTCCAGACCAACCTAAATAATGATTAAAAAAACATTTAAAAAGCCATCAAGCATCAATAAAACACTACAGTACACTATGAAAATCTATCTATTACCCAAATAAACTGTCATGTCCGCTTTGTTTGTATTGCACATTTAAAACAACACCAGCTGCCCAAAGAATAAAAATACACACAATTGTATGTAAAATGTGAAACGATAGAAGTCAGTTGGTGTTAAAAGCCAAGGCATACAAATGTGTAGACCAGATTTAAAAGTCTCCAGTGTGATCTTTCCGACTTTCTGAATTCTGTTGCTATACATTAAGTCCTTTCTAATATTGTTTATGGCTGGTCCTGTAAGTTACCATTTTCCAGTGATTGCCTTCTTGCTTGCCACAAGATTAACTGATTTTATGAAGTTAGTAATTAAGTAACATTTTACGGCGTTGGATATTTTATGCAATATTGTACATGTTTAATTTTTTTTCAAGTATTTATAAGTACGTGTCTTTCTTTTTTACCCCAGAGCGAGAACACTGGGAGCTTTGCAATAAATGTAACTTAATGAGACCAAAGAGGTCGCATCACTGCAGCCGCTGTGGCCACTGTGTCCGCAGAATGGACCACCACTGTCCCTGGTCTGTATAGCGACACTGTTTTTTTGTGTTACACGATTGTAACATTTTTATTGTTTCTGACATTTTATCTTTTGCAGGATTAATAATTGTGTGGGAGAAGACAACCACTGGCTCTTCCTGCAGCTCTGTTTCTATGCACAGGTCCTCAGCTTGTTCACTCTGGTCTTGGACTTCTGCCAGTACTACTACTTCCAGCCACTGACACAACTGGATCAGGTATTTCTCGCTCCAAACTGCCATAATCTGATCTTGAACTTACAAATGGATGTGATATAGTAGGCATACATTTATATTATACTATACTCATGGGTAATGCCTTATATAACCGATTTTATTGAGAATGGCAATAAGATAAATCACATTATCAACCCATTACCAGGCAACAAATGCACTATATACCTTCTTCAAGCTTTGAAATTCTATGATTTTGTGGATCTATACACATGATAACGTTTTTAAAAAAACTACTTGTACATGTGAAGTGTCTTTGATTGAGCTGGAAAGTGCTATATAATACCGATGCATTGTTATTATTATTATTAACATTAATATAAAGGACAGGCAAAATAAGCCTTAGCTTCAGCCTACACCTTTTCAGTCCTCCTGTGAATGTATGTTTCTGGAAGGTTCATGTGAATGTGTCTTCTATCTGCACAGGAGAAATTCACAACACGTCATGAACTGGCTTTGCTGCGAGGTTCAGCGCTCATGGGCGTGGTCATGTTTGGTGGCATGACCAGTTTGTTCTACACTCAGATGACAGGGATTCTCTCGGTAAGTAAAACGTGATGTAGAAGGTCATTACATCAGCAAGTGTGACTTTAAACAACAAAATAAAGACCAATCTTACAAGACCATCCACTACAATCGTTTGTAAATGAATTCGAAAGCCAGAAAAAGAATGAGGACACTAACCATACTCATCATTCTTGTTTTTCAGGATACGACGACTATAGAGAAAATGTCCCAGTTCTCAAATGAAATGTGAGTATCACTGATTCAGGCATGCTGGTTTGAGATATTATCTATTATTATGATCACACGCTTCAAGAAAAGATAAGAGAAGATAGACTTTATTGATCTCATACTGGAGAAATTTACATGTCACATTTAGCATAGAGTGAATCACTCAGATTGTGCAAAACACAGAAGTGTCCAAACATGTTAAAGGTTAAAAATATAGTCTGTGCAGGATATAATTATGTACAATAAAAATTCTATTCAATAAATCACTTGTCTTTGAGGAAGTTGTTGATTCGCCAACAACAGTTCGAACACAGGAAATGCAAAAATGGAGACATTGGTTCATAGGAAGCAGAGCGGGATGACCACTGTCCAGAAATGTTATTAAATGTGCATAAATGTCCCTATTTAAGGACATATTCAAGCAACCTGCATCAATATGTCCTGTTTTAGAAAATACAATCTTAAATATCAGAATACAGATCAATCAAACATTTACAGCAGTTAGACAACAGCTTGGACACACTGCTCTCCGTCATCAGAAGAAAAATACATAATTTCAAAAATAACTAACCCTAAGTATCCATAAACCACCGCTAGACTTTTTATTCTGGTACAGGCCTCAAGCGGATGGAAAAAATATGTGTGTTTTTATATTTTTGAAGAAAGGTTAAATAATAATAATAAAAACGTCCATCCATTTTCTACCACTGTATCCATTGCAGGGGGCACCAGTCTTAGCATGTGTGGTATGGAGCCCATACCACTCACACACAGCTAAGGGCCTACAGGCCCATGGCTTGTATCGCAGCCTGAGTATACTGTGAAATGTATATGACTTTATCTCATGGCTCTATGATAATGTGCACCCACAAGGCTTCATTACAGACCACACGCTCCAGACTGGTTAATAAGTAATAAAACATGATTGAGGACGCTGTTGCTTTTGCAGCTTTGGAAGATGTGACAGAATTTATTGGTTTGTATAATTGTTTTACAAAGCACTTTATCGCACAAATCCTGTGTTTCACCTCTGTCTGAATTACCTGTAATAATACCTATTGTGCATTCAGTGAGGTCGATACAAAAATGATGCTTTATTGTTTTGCTCTATACGTTACTGTGTTTGAGATGAGCCTTCTAAACACAGAATCCTTTATTTAGGCTTATACAGTATCGAACCAATATCAAGATATTCCATAAAAATATGGCTTAGTGACAGTATAGTTGTTTTTTTCTTAGAATATATTTGAGGAAAGCCATTTACTCATATAACAAAGGAATGGACTGCAAGCTATACTCACAATTCATAACCAACAAAACATGGACATGTTTACTCTCCCCGATCAGGCCCATCTCAAACCCATGTTCTTATGTTACAGGATATGGTTGCTAATCATTACTGAATCTCAAGAGTATATGAATTTAAGCATTCAATTATATGTTACATCATATTATGCAGAAATTGTCTACCGATGTCATTTAAATTCCATTCAATATTTTCATTTTCAGCTTAAATTCAAAGAAGAAGTGGCAGAGGGCGCTAGCCGAGGTCTGTGGGACTCGATGGAAACTTCTGTGGCTGCTCCCGCTCAGAATGAGGCAGCCTCTTCAGTCGGGACATCAACATTACCGCTCTCACGTTTAACCCGGAGTTTTTGCCGCATTTTTATTCCCTTTAAATTGTACAATGCTGAGGAGCTGCAGGAAAAAACGGCAAGAGTTTTCTCCCGAGGAAGGCTATTTGCTTTTCGGTTGCTTCTCGTCTTCTTCCAAAATATCAAGACACTACTGATTTTGTTTGTCCTTTTTTGCACACTGTGATCTTGCTCAATGGAAAGACTGGTAAACAAGCACTCACTCAGGTTTTATAAAGACTATCTAGACTTTCAATCAGCCACAGAATGAAGACTCCAGTGTACGTACTGTATGTCCTGTATGTTGTCGGTCTCTTTTCCTTTGATTTTGTTTTATTGCATGAGTTGGTTTAATCTTTTAAATATTTATTTTTATATGTTGAAGTAAATATGGAGGCTATTTGATTGGGGGACAAGCTGCTATTATGCTGTTATTGTTTTAATCACTGGTTTTGAATGTTTTTTCTACATATTGCTGTTGTATTTTTAATTTCTATTGATGTTTATGAAATGTGTCCTACTTAAAGCTGGGGTACCTAAGTTCTTTTTGGTTCATAATATGCGTTTTTCCAATAGAAAGTGAGCTGTTTTTTTTTTTCTTTTTCTTTTTCTTTAAGGCAAGGGACTAGTTACATGGATTTTACTTCATCATTCAATTTTTTGGTACCCCAGATTTAACATTATGAGTATTGATAGGAGCACTGCACGTCTTTCATGGGAAATTTTGTACACACTGTGTCCTTTGACATGATTGGGCGATTCTAGTCTGCAATTCTCCAAAAGTCAGACCTGCAAACAAACATGAACTAGTGAAAGATTTTAGACCTATTTTTCTGTTCATTTGTTGTCTCCAGCTGCTTTTTAGGCAATGCAATAATGGTGGTTGTGGATGTCAACCTTTAACAGTCTTATTGTCACTTATAGTGCTAGGAAAGATCTTCACATATAAAAACTGCGTTCTTATATTATTGTGAAAGAGTTACATAGTTATTTAGACATTCCTAATGTTAGTTGTGGATATACAGTATATATCAGCTACAAAACTTATATTTAAGACATGCAGTCGCTTGCAGGAACTATACCAAGTAGTTTTAAGTGCCTGTAGTAGGTCATGTGTTAGCTCACAGCATTTGGTCTCTATACAAGCCAAAGACCAGGGGAAAGTTTGCAATAGTTAAAACACAGACAAGCAACGCATGAGTCACCAAAAGTGCAGCTGGAAATGTGTACGTTTTATGCACTGACTGTTCAGAGACACCACTGCTTCTAAGGTATCATGTGTGTTCATTTTTGTTCTTATATTTGATTTTTATTACTGAAAATGTGTTTATTTGGAGGGAGTAATGTTGCCCTTCTGCCTGGAACTGCGATATTGAAGGCACGTTCATGCTTCTTAGTCTGGTTCATTTTACCTTGTCGCCCACTTCGGGTAAAAAAGGCTGTATTTGTGTTTATAAAAACACCAAATAAGTGAATATGTGTATTTCTTGTTTATGCTAGTCGCTTAAAGAAGAAATATTGATTATTTTTTTTTACATAAAAAGTGATAGCCTATTTCTACTGCTGCCATTTCATGTTTTAGAATGTGAAATATCTTATATTATATCACATTATCTAATATATGGAGAAACAAGTATGACGGGTAAAAAAGGCATTCTGCCTATATCACCCTATCCTACCACCAGAGGGAGGACTTGAATTTGTTTTGGATTTTTATTCCAAGTCTTAAAATAATCTGAGAAGTGACCAAAACTAAGGTTTTGAGTATGGCCACACATCCCAATGGCCTGATCTGCTAGTTTAGAAAAAGTACACAATATGAAAATAGATTACAATCCTTACTGCTTCGTTGCTCCCAAGTGTCTTTTAATTACAGACTTCAAAACTTATTTAGGGGCAATACTTGAATTTTAAAGTGAGTGTGACATTAGAGTGTGATGTCACGTACGATGACATACTATTACCGGAATGAGACAGGTGCGTTTAGGCAGAAGGGGCAGAAGATGAGTGAACCAGACCAAAAACTGAACACGCCTTAAAAGACCATGTTTACATTTTTTTATTCAATAAGTCATAATTATTGTGTTTTATTTTTTTGTAACCGCAATAATCGTGACTGGAATCTCAGAATACGCTGCTTTTACTTCATTCTTCTCATAGTATCCATTAAGTTTATTATTGTATTTCCCCCAAAAAAGTACAAGCGGGGAATTGTTGCTTTTGCTGTCGGCCATATCAGATTCCTCAAACCTGTACTTGTGTTTAGACTCCTGCGTTTAAGGCAATGACGTCACTATAACAACCACCGATTATCCTTATATCACATTTTTATGGTAAAGTGTGTTGATAACTTTTAAGTGATATTAAAAAAAATCATGAGGAAAACTTGTGTGATGAATATATGTTTGACTAAAGCTGGGATACCTAAAAAAACACGTTGTTTGCACCTTGGTTTTTGCTCTATGGAAAGACTGTATGCAAGCACTCTTTCAAGTTTTTACAGACTTAAAACTTTCCATCAGAATCAGAATGAAAACTCCAGTGTACGTACTCTAAATGCGCTATATAAATAAACATTACTTAAACAATAACATGTTTTCTATTAAGATGAATACAGCATATTGTGGTTTTACATTTTCCTCTAAAATTGCCCTTTCTTCTTACGAGGGGGGAAATAACTTGTTCAAATGAGTTTAATTGTCTTGGTGGGAAATGTCAGTGTGTAAGTTGAACAGGTTTCTTTAAATTAAGACCGGGCATTCAAGGAGAGTGGTTTTATTGTTTTTGTCTCGGCTGGACAAAGAACCTATTGTTTGATTTTCCTTGTGAAGTTTCCATATGCCAGCACTCATGATGTGTAGTATCCCAGAACAGTCATTGTCTCACCCTGAACCCTCTATATCGCTGTGTACTTTTTTATCCCCATTACAATAGCAGTCCATCAACACCAACCTTTTTTTTCTCTCTAGCCTCAGCCCAAACGCTCGCTGTTCCGGCGTTCTTAAGTCCCAGTGAAGCGTGGGTAACGTGTGCATGATCCGTGAACATAATCTCTCTTCATTGTACAGAATGGATACATGTTCTTGGTATGGTTTGCACATACGCACTGGTCTGTCCTCAGGCGACCCCGGGTCTAGTCGGGATAGCGTTACCATCCGGATAGCCTTATCGTTTGTACCGCCCGTCACCGGAGACTTGGGGAACGAGAACGAGCGGGGCACCATGCACAATACACACAACACACTGCTATGCTGACAATACATATGTGTGTGTTTGAAAGTTTGCACATCCAGCCATGCAGAGATGTTTTTATTTTTGATATACTCTGGAGATTATGAAGGATAACACAGATCATGATTGTGGTTGTACTCAAATTTTAACATTATTGAGCTGCTGTGGGGAGACCTCAAACATGCTGTTCATGCAAGGCGGCCAAGGAATTTATACATTTTCCACCATGGCACTAGTTCTTGGCTGGTGCTGGTTCTGGGCTGTTTCAGATGTGTTTTCTAACAACCAGGCAACACAATATAAACGAGCAGCACTTAGCATTCATTAGCTTCTCAATTAACGTGTTTTGCTGTATTTTTTCATTTAAAGCCAATTTGATAGCACCTTTTCAGTCACTTACTTAAAAAAGTGCAAGAGATGAAAAGCCCAAAATGAGCCATGAGGACCAGAACCAGCACTTTGGAAAAAAGGACTTGAATTTCCACAAAATGTTGATTGCTAGTTGGTTGTTCGTTGCTAGATCCGTAAAAATGACAATCTGGGAGTTAAAGGTAAAACTACTCACATTTATAAAGATCATTAATAATTTCATTAAAGTGATGACATAGAAATAAACGACACATACATACAGAAAAGCGATAGAAAGACGAAGAATGTACAAACGTTGAGTAATTACGCTTCCAAAAACTAAAAGCCATTAAATTGACTGCTCCGGTGATGTATATAGAACCAAAGTCTCCATAACCAGCTTGGATCTCAGTTGCATCCTATTGTTAAAAAATTGTGTTTATCCTCGGTGCCTCGTGGCTTTTAAAACGGACCTATCCCACTTCACAGGCGCGGTCAGACAGGGTTAAACAGGCTTAATCTGAAATAATGGCTACTGAACTGCACTAATGAAATAAGGGGCCACCTGTTACAGTCAGTGGCATCTGGCCGAACAAAAGAATCAATTAGCCTCATGCCTAATAAACATAAATAAGCTTGAAGTAATAGCAAAAGGCCTGTGTACCTGTGAGCGGGGAGTCCGGCATGGCTTGGCGTGATGCTTGATACATTCTGCAGCCTGGGATTAAGATTAAGAGTTTAATATCAGTGGTAGTAATTGCTTTGAATTGAATGTGCGATTTCCCAGATGGATAATAATGGGTTGGCGAGCCCCGGTGTAATTGTAGAGTGCGATCGGCATCACGTGTGCCGTTCGGGATTGATAGGTTTTGAACAGGGTTTCTCAAACTGTGGGGCAGGGCCGTAGCTGGTGGAGATATATCAGAGTACTTCATGACTTTGAGGCAAAAACAAATATTTTTAAAATTGTGTTCACTTTTTTGTTCATCTTTATTATATTTTTAGTAGTTTTTATCCTGTCTTGGTCTGATATTGTTTCTGTGGTTGCATTATTATTCATATTTCTATTATTTGCATTGTTTTTTGAGACATATACATGAATGGTGTTGAAAAGTAAGAAAAATGTAGATAATTAAAACATTACAGGGATATTTTGTAAAATATCCAAAGTTTTACCATATGTGCCTTAAACCTGTGCAATATTCTGTAGATCACACTGTTCACTTTGTCCTCTCTCTGTCCTCTCTCTTGGTTTTAATTTCTGTTTGTACATTACAATTCAAATCAAATGCAGATTTTCTCATTTACAAATTAATAACAAACTATCTGTAATTTCTCCTTTGATCCCGGATTAAAGTGACTTTCCTCTGGTCGTGTCCTGCGTTCCTCCGTTGGCTCCATACACTGCACTTGTCCAGATACTGAAGGTATT